CCTCCAAGGTCGAGAAGGGGAGTGTTGACATATTGTGGGGTTGTTAACCAATGTCATAAAACAATATGTGTACTGACTGTTTAATGAGAAACTGTTCTGTAAACCTTCATGTAAAGCACAATAAAAAAATTTTAAAAAATTGTTATCACTTTTAGAAATTAATCCTTTTAGTAAAGCTTTTAACTTTGTTTATAAATCCAAAGAAGCCCATATTTCTATTTTTCAAGCAATCCAAAAATGTACGTTTTGGATAAATAATATGTGCACTTCTCTAGGTGGTCATCACAAGCTTAACATGCTTCAATGTGCCAATATATAGATAGACATTCCTGTCATATAAATTTAAACCGTCCTGATTAGAATATGAAAAATGTTACAAGAGGTCCAGAGCATAAACAGAAGTTTATGCAGCTTAAGTTAATTTTAATGTAAAATCTTCTGAAGAGACACAGTATTAAAATAATTCCATAAAATAAAATGAATCCGTCACTCATGAACCACCTAAAACAAGACACAATATAGCATCATGAAAATTAATTTTCCTTCACTACACCAAAAATAAACCCAAACTCATGGCCATGGAGTTGACTGCCACTCATAGAGACCCTACAGGACAGAGTAGAACTGCCCCATAGAGTTTCTAAGGAGCAGCTGGTGGATTTGAACTGCTGACCTTTTGGTTAGCAGCGAAATGCTTAACCACTGCACCACCAGGGCTCCTGCCTTCATTAATAAGTGAACAGAAAATCCAATACAATGTAGGAGATGAAGGCATACAATAAAACAAATACTGATTATGCGCCTGTTGTGATCTTACCCATCTTTTGAAACAATGTAAAATATCACCTATTCAATAATGTGTTCTGCAATATATCCAGGTAAGAATGTATACATACATCTATTATAGCATTTTTCTCAGCATGTATTATTTGTTTAACAAACATTTATTAAGTACCCACAATATGTAAGATACTGTGCATATTAGAAAATCAAAATATTGGAAAAAATATAAGCTTGACTCATAGTCATTTCTTCCCATTCTGGCAGTAGGATTCAAATGATTTCTATGTGCTTCATCATCTTTTGACTTGTAACTCTAGGAAACTCATCATTAAATGAACTTAAAAAACCTCCTTGCTAAGTCAAAAGGTTCTCTCAACCATTTTCCTCAGATCTCCCTTAATCTGCCTACCAAAAATCACACCACTTTCAGAATGCTCATCAAAAAGTATAGTAAAGATTATCATCATCATCAGTGTGAGGAAGATGGAAATAATGAAGAAATGAAGCTGGAAAAGCAGGCTGAAAGCAGCAAAACAGTCAACAATTAGTGGTTTAACGCAGATTACACAGAGCTGCTCAGACTTATCTGAGGAAAAATTATTTTTTCTAAATCAAGATATTTGTATGTTATACTAAATGCCAACAAAAAAGTATGACATACAGATTTCGATATATCATTAAAAATATCAATCTAAAGGCAGATAATTAGCTCCAGCATTTTTATTTCTATTGCACTTTATTTTTATCGTTAAAAGAAAATTCACTCGCAAATATTAATTTTGTATTCGTTACATGTGTCAAAGTTATAACGAACTAATTTACTATTAATGCAGCTATTATGTATACTTCCAGAGCATTTCCTTTATGCCATTATTTAATGTAGCATAAAAATAAAATGTGGCTAATATTTATATTAATTCTTCCTCTTCTTCCTATGTAAACAGTTACTGAGCTGAGAAGACACTGTGAACTAATAATTCATAGGATAATTTTAAGCTATACAAATTAATCATTTTGTTTATGTCAGTTCATCCAGTTATCTCAAATACATAGACTTGTATGAATAGGAATTATGATTTTCATGGTTTCTAATGGGTTTGGCCCCACGCATCTGTAGTTTATTGCACTGTGTGGGCTTGCGTGTTGCTGTGATGCTGGAAGCTATGCCACTGGTATTCAAATACCAGCAGGGTCATCCATGGTGGATAGGTTTCAGCTGAGCTTCCAGACTAAGACAGACTAGGAAGAAGGACCTGGTGGTCTACTTCTGAAAAGAATTAGTCAGTGAAAACCTTATCAATAGCAGCACAACATTATCTGATACAGTACCAGAAGATGAGCCCCTCAGGTTGAAAGGCACCAAAAAGACGATTGGGGAAGAGCTGCCTCCTCAAAGTAGAGTTGACCTTAATGATGTGGATGGTGTCAAGCTTTCAGGACCTTCATTTCCTGATGTGGCACAACTCAGAATGAGAAGAAACAGCTGCAAACATCCATTAATACTCTGCTTGGCAGAGGGTCAGCGAAAAAGCGGAAGACCTTCAACGAGATGGATTCAGACAGTGGCTGCAATGATGGGCTCAGGCATACATTTGTGAGGATGGCACAGGACTGGACAGTGTTTCCTTTTGTTGTACATAGGGTGGGTGAGTGGAACCCACTCGATGGCACCTAATGACAACAATGGGTTTGCAATACATTGAACTGGTGTTGTTGCCTCTATTTCATCAAAGCAATGAGTTCAGCTATGGTAAGATGTGCTGTGACTTTATGTGCCACTAGGAAAGAAAAAAATTATGTCTAATAAACCATTGCACAAAATACAAGCTCAACTCAACTAGTTCAATGAAGTGTGAGATGATAATAAAGTAATAATAACAGTAATTGTTACTATTCCACATTATATACTATGCCGGAAGTTTTAAATGATGTTATTAGTGTTTAAAAATTAGGAAAAAGAAACATTTAAATTACTTTACAGTGTATCTTAATCTTAAATTTAAATATATATCTTCAAATCAAATACAGAAAAAACCATTTTCCCAGGGATAATTTCATTAAAACTAAGCACAGAAAATCAGCTTATACTGAAATCTTGTACATACAGACTAAATACTCTTTTCTCTAAAATCTTTTCAAAAAGTTTGTGAGTATTAAAAAAAAATAGGTAAAGATTATCTCAGGTCATTATTGTAGCAACCTGTCTTACTAAGACATTATTTGTTTTCTTTTACTTACTCATCTAAAGGAGATTGGCAAAATGAGATCCCTGAGTGGTGCAAATGATGTGCATTCGGCTGATGACTGAAAGGTTAGTGTTTGAGCCTACCCATGGTTCCACAGAAGAAAGGGCTGGCTATCTCTTCCATAAAGATTA